CTTTTGAAGCGTTTCCCACAGACGGCGCCAAATGATGCGGCACGATCCGGACACTCTTAGCCTTCGTTCTTCCTTTGCTTCCTGTGCACAATACTAACTTAAGCATCGGAGTATTCCCACCGGGTAAACTCCCTGGGAATCCTTCCTTTCATCTTCTCAGGTGCCGTCCGTTGCCAACAAGGAGCCAGTCAGCAGCCAGCTAGGAGTGCCTGGATCGTGCCGCATCAATTCCCTTCCTCTTTTTCTCTTCTTGTTGTCTCCTTTTGTTTCTTCTTCTTTTAATCTGATTTCTTATTTCTTTTGGGACTGTTTTTCTTTTATTTAATTCTATAGAAGTCTTCACATTCAAGGTTTAAAATGTTGGTGTTGGTGAAAATATCAATCTTCCAAATATAGGTAACATGTCAGAAATGTTAGAAATATTGTGAAATTTGTAGACATGCTGGAAACATTACGAAATAGGCAAAAATCTAGAATGTTATTTTATGTAATGATAGAAGATGCATAGGTAGACTTTTAAATTATTATCTTGTTTTAAATGATCAAAATTACATGATAGAGTGAGTTCAGGAATAATTCAAACTCATAGAAATTGCAAATGATTCTAATAGATCAACCAAGTAATCTATAATACAATAAAGCTAAGATTTAACTTCATGTTTCAAAAGATTTTTGAGCTGAAAAAAAGTAGTAATCATGTTCATTAAGTTGGCAGACACACTGTTACTCCACTTTATCTAAAATATTCTCATCTACTTATGTCATAATACTATCTCTTGTACTCCACGTAGCACTGGTAGCTTTCATTGGGGAATTTGTCGATTCCAGTAATATTTCATGTTGGTACCCATGGTAATGGAAATATGTTTTGGGAATATTAGGAAAATTATGGGCATTTTAAACAATGTTCACAATTTGTTACCGACCCAGAATGTAGACTGTATATTTCCTCCCTGCAGCCTGTGTTTTTCACAGCATAAAACACTGATAGCTACAAATTTGCAGGTTCTTGTTGACAGGCTTTGTCCTAAGCAAATGGAGAATGACATTGAAGTACGGGGACCTCCAGTGGCAAAGGCATTTGATCATCAGGGAAATCCTACTAAGGTGTTTTCTGTTTTCTGGTCTCACTGTTGGAGTTCTTTCTTGGAAATGTTCTTATTTAATAAGATGAAAGTCCTTGAAATATTGTCAGGGGTTGGAATGTAGAATAAATAAGATGGCATCTCATAAATAGTTAAACCTGAAGCTTGTTATGTTYGTGCACTATTATATCTGTTTCAATTTTTATTATTTTTATTTTTCTCATGTTATGTTCCTTGTAGATTTTACTGTGGCTATGGTCTTTTATTCTTATTACCCAATGTTGGTCCCAGCTATTTGTGGTCTTGGGAGGTAAGGGCTGGAAAYAGTGGTCCCTTTTTTTGAAGATAAATAAAGAAAGTAATTTTGTTTCTAAAGGAAAAACAATACGTCATAACTAGGTGACAAGATGCCACCCCCACCAGATTACAGTAATGTAAGACCACAAAAAATCAAAAAACAACATTTCAGTATCAAAACAGATATTAGCATTCCTTTTAGGAATTCAGAGAAGTCCAAAAATCAGCTCCAAAGTCTTTTTTCTGCAGTCCTTGAAACTCTGGAAGCAAAAGCACCCAACCAATAACTGTCGAACTAATAACAACTACCATCTCTTCCAAACTTTTCTTTTTCTCCTCGAAGATCCTTCTATTTCTTTCCTTCCATATTTCCGAGCAAACAGCAAAGGGAATACATGTCCAATGGATCTTAATTTTAACTCCACCTTGGATTCTTGGCCAACAACTAAAAATTTCAGCCGGATCTGCCAGAGTTCCTATCCACCTTGAATTACTTGAAGAAATTGGACCAAACTGGATATGAAAAGCTGCACTGAAGCAAAATGTGAGACACATCTTCCTCACCAGCACAACACAGAACACATCCATTTGAAAACTGCAGACCTCTGAGTTTTAGGTTACCCTGGGTTAGAATGCAACCTTTCACAATCAACCAAGCAAATTGATCTCCAAGGCCTGACGTTTTGCCAACAACTCCAAGCACTCCACCTCCCAATCAAACAGTTGTCTCCTGAGATTTGGCCTCCAGACCACAGCACCATTTACTACTTCATACCAATCTGAAATTGGCACTCCTTTCTTACTCAGATTATATAACTTTGGGCATAAGTCAGAAAATTTCCCCACCCTCAACTAGTCATCTTCCCAAAACCTTATACTTGATCCACTTCCCACTTCCCACTTCCCATGTATAAAAAGGGATCATCAAAGAGTTAAAAACTCATGATACCTTTCTATACACTAACTCCATACAAGTGTCTCACCTCCTTTGAATCCCACCCAAAGTTCATCACCCCATACTTACAAGCCACCACTCTTCTCCAAAGGGCCTCCCTTTCTCTTTCAAACCTCTAAACCCACTTCCCCAATAAAGCTTTGTTGAAGATTCCAACCCTTTTCACTCCTAAACCCCCACCTTTTTTGGATCTGCAGACAAACTCCCACTTAACCAAGTGTAACCTCTTTCTCTCAACCCTATCATTCCACAGAAATTCTCTCTCTAACCTTTCAATCTCTTCCACCACAGCAGCTGGAGCTTTAAGTAAAGATAATTAGAAAACCGGCAGATTTGAGAGAATACTTTTTATCAATGTTAATTTCCAAGGATAGAAATTTCCCCTTCCACCCTGCCAGCCTTTGGTCAATTCTGTCCAAAACAGGTAGCCATGTAGAAACAGTGGTCTCTTAGCTAAAAGATTGCCTACTTAGCTTGTAAAGARATACTTGATGATGTCCTTTTTGTGCTACTCTCATGTTTTTTATTTTCCATTTTCCTTTTTCCCTTAAGGAAATAGCTGATACATATTTTGATCGCTTAAAGAACACCTTACATGTTTGTGCCTACTGTGTCACTAGAAAAAGATTTTCCGTGATATCAATTTATACTCTTTGAGACATGATATTAATTAGCTTCTGTTGCTATGTTTGTTATTTGTTGTCAGGCTGCTGAGGGTTTTGCCCGTAAATATGGTGCTTCTTTGGATTCTTTGTTTAGAAAGGCAGATGGTAAGTTAGCATATTTACATATTCAATGTGCTTGTAGAAAGTTCTTTTTGTTTGCCATTAGGTGTGCTTATTAGAAGGAAAATGGAATTTAGATGGAAAGACTGATGATATGTTGTTTGAAATGGCAATCTGCATAAAGAAAGTAACTAAGGATGTCCTTGAAGAATCTAAAGGGAAAATGAAAAGTGTTAAAAGAAACTTGGTGGTGGAATGAAGTTGTTCAAAATATAATCAGATTAAAAATGCAAAGAAATTGGGATATTATAAAAGTATAATAAAGGAAGTTAAAAAGAATGCTGGTTGAGTTAAATTTTGGACATATGATGAGATTTATTATAAACTAGGCACTAAAGAGGGAGAAAATGGGATTTATAAACTAGAAAAAGTGGGAGAAAATGAAATTTTGTTATTGATAACAAAAGCGGGAGAAAATAGAGGCCAAGATTTAAAGCACGTTATGTGCATAAAAGAGGAAAATTTATGAGTTTTGGTATATGAGAAAATCAATCAAAGATTGACAAACTATTTTGAAAATTTGTTAGATGAACAATATGTTAAGGATTCTAATGGAGGAGAGATTTGTAATACTAATAGTGCTAAAAATTGTTAGACAGTTTTGTATGCCCTTAGCTTCAATCAGAATGATGTGCTTTATGAGTTTATTGTAAATGAATAAAGATACATATTTGATTCATGTTCCCTTGGTATGTTTCTGTGTAATACCCTTAAACTAGACACTTAATGAGACTCGTGTTAGTTTAGAATGTTCACAGCCAGTGGGTCGGTCTGGGGAGACCTATCCTGACAAG